AGATATCGAACCGGAACGGCTAGCAGTCCGTCGAGATTCGAGGTCCACACATCAGGATCCACGGGATCTAGGAGACAACGCGGCTGGCTTCGCGTGGCCGCCTGCCCTGCGGGGGGACCGTCCGACGTTCACGAACAGTAAGAGGAGAGGAGCCCAGTGGAGTGCGGATCGGTCGAACGTTACTAGGGGGGAGTGGTTCTTGGACACGGAAAAAAATAATTCGTTGCTTCAACCCATGTTTGAGTTGATTTGGAGCTTGCAAAAAGAATTCGTTGTGGGAACAAAATATCCGTTGTTTTAATCAAGCGTTTGCTGGTAGAACGAATTCTTAGTTGTGAGAGCGAATAGATCGTTGACGAAGTGAATAAATCTGATTGCTGGAACGAAAGCGTTTTTAGTTGAATCAACGATCGCCTTCGCTCTCTCAGCGATGTGTTCGCTGCTCCAACGAATTTTGCGTTGCATTAGCGAACACTTGGATGAGACAACGAATTAGTTCGTTCTCACAACCCAACAGCGTTAGTGATTCCTATATCAACCTACGTATGAGTTGGATGAACTAATTATTTTTCTCCGTGGAGCGGTTGGCCCGATAGAGATGGTCTTGCCGACGTCGCCGCTACGCCCGCTTAGCTCTAACGGCCTGCCGGTGCTCTGCCCACACGGCCCGCCGAGATGGCGCTTTCGGCTCACGTTCGTCACATCTTATTCCTATCAAGGGGGTGGTTCTAGCGGACCGCAAAAGGCGGTGCTGTGCTCGCGAGGTAGCCGCGGCAGACGACGAACCGCACCTGTCATCAAACAGACGTTGCGTGTGTCCAAAAAATAACACAAAATTTACGGGATTAGGGATGATAATTGTCATCATAAATTTTAATGGTTCCAACAGAAAAATGTGATCCACTAAACGGAGGATACTATTTATTTCAAATAAGAAAGTTGAACTTGAAACGAGTCAATTAGAAGCAAAATTTTTCTAAGATAATTGGTTCGCTTTAAGTTGAACACTGTCAAAACATTTCGTGATTTTACGAAAAAAACTGTTACAAGAAATGCTCAGTAAAAAACTATTTACGAAACATTTCATAATGTTAAAAAAAATCGATACGAATTCAACATTTTGTGTCATCGTTCATGACAAAATGTATGCAAATTTCATACTCTTTAGTTAAAGCTTTGGATTTTACAAAGCAATTCGTAAAATAAAAATGCATTGTAATTTGTTAAAACAAAGACTTCGTAATAGAAATTTAACCGAGAAAATTCCGTAAAATCACGACAATTCTTTTTACAGTTAACCATCGCAATAATTATCTTGGCTTGAACTTTTGTGATTTGTTCTGCAAACTAAACCCTTGTGCATTTTGTTGTGCATAAACATGCAGTACGGCGTGCAGACATAATTAATTATGCACAATGTTTTTGCATAATTCTGCACAAATTTGGGAATTAACAAACTGTTTATGGCTGCACGCCATACTGCATGTTTATGATGCACAACAAAATGCATAAGGGCTTAGTGTGTGCAGTTGATGCGGAACCAGCTTTTGGTCAGCGCAGCGCGTCAACAAGATTTTGGGACGGCGCACCGACCAGGACATATGCAAATGAAGCACAAAGTAGAAGCGTCTTAGCGCGCGCGAACGGCTCGGACGCAAAGGACCGTATAGGAGGTCTATAAGGGATCGTCTAGAAAGTGCGTCCGTCATTCGTCGCACGGAACTGCGAAGTTCGGCGGATGCAAGCTCTCATATCGCCTTGTAGGTAGGCAACACTGTGTCTGCACTGCATGCGTGTACTGCGGGGTGGCCCACCCTGAGTCTCGCAGGCGCCGAGCTCCTGTGATTCGCCGAACGAATCAGAGAAAAACG